TCATTTTGGACAACCTATTAACCCGAATGTTGAAATAATTTTGGAATGTGATAAGTAATACACTGTACGTCCACGGGTTATTTCACAGCTGTGTTTTCCTGTCCCTGTCGTGTTCTGCTGAATCGGCAAAACGAAAGGGTCACAAATCACTTTATCTCGGTGACCATGTTTCTCTTTATTAAAGTAACGATAACCGGTCTGCGATTAAATATCATGATTGACAGACCCTAAGACCCAAATATAAGGTTACACAAATCATGCTTGAGAAGACTCATGTGAATAAAAACAGACCAAATAGAACTACATACTTTCTTATTTAGACGCCCCCCTAGAAAAGCGACTTATTGCCGGGAAATACGGTAATTGTCAATTTTTTTTCGACGTAATGGAAATGAATTTGTAAATTAAAAGCCTCGTAGACGAATGTCGGCAATGTCCACCCACGCAAACGTGCAAATGTGTCGCAACACTATGCGACGTACGGTCGCACAGAATATAAACAATCAATGTGCCGATCGTCATTACATTACGTGAGACAGCGTAAAAAGTCGTTTGAAGATTCCCATAAAACGAAACACCACGATTACGGCGAAAAGTGGCTACTATTCGGAATTATTCGAAAAACAGCCGAAAAGGTATTCGAATACTTTGATATTCGAATACATTCGAATATTCGATTCGTTTTGGACGACCCTGGTTGAAGCATTGGACATTACTGTATTGGTATTGCAAGTAACACAGTTTGGGTTCAAATCTCATTTGATATATCTAATTTTAATTATGGGAATGATTTAAAACTGTTTATATGAAAATTTTCTTGATTTGACATCTGATGGTGAGACAAACACTTCATTTATATAATACCTGATTTTGCTTCTAATACCTTACCATCAGTTCTTATATTTGTCACGTTTAATATAAACAAGCCAACAAACAAATGAGTAGATGCATTACTGTTGCCGGTCTTTTTACACTAAAATAATATGGTCATCGCGACTGGCACCATGTGCTTTTGCATGTGCTACTCCACAACAAGCCTCATGAGCCATGAGCCTCTTGGACAAGAACAAGGGTCCATTCTTGACAAACTCAGATATGAACTATTCTTTCATACTTACCATATATCCTCGCATATAAGTCGATCCCCTAAAATCACCCTTAAAGCGGGGAATTTATAAAAATTCGCATATAAGCCAACACTACATATCGTAGAAGGCCATACACACCTATCACAACCAGGGATGTTCAATTTGACTTTAATATTCAATATGGCTATTTGCTACCTTCAGAATATCGTTTTTAGTGGAAATTGATACCACGCACACATCCTAGCGCCCTCCGTCCATGTTTTGATTGGAAACATTTTTCGATCATGACATATTTTAACAAGTAAACAAATAGCTCATGGAGCCCCTAGGTTTTTCATTCAGAGCCATGGGCACTTTGAGAACCTATGTTCTAGTGAACATATTTATCGGGTGGTTTCACGTCTTCTTTGCAAACATGACTCTAGCTCAGGGGTGAGTAAGGCTTTTAAACCAGGGGCCAAAACTTTTACCTATCGAGACTGGTGGGCCAAGTAAGTGTGACTTCCATTTTACGAACAATGTTTGCAGTGTTACAAACGTAAAATTGGAAAACAATAAGCCTCGTGCCCAAATTTATCTGCAATTTCAACCAATTCTTTAAGTTATTTTTTAGCTAAAACATCAAAATTTGGTTACTGTTTGGTTGCGGCAGCATCAGGCTGGCTAGATGGAATTACCCAACAGGCTGTAGTTTTTCTATGCCAGCTCTAGCTAATCAGTCAGAATATAGGAGCAGCTAATATGTTGTTGCAAGGTTCATTCTGGTTTGGGATATGACTTATCTATCTATAAGACATCCTGGGTTATGTGGGTGTGAGTTGTCACCCGAGACCCAGTGTTCACTTCAAGAAAATTATTGAGTGTGTGCGTTTCTCACAAGCCAAAAATTAAAAAAGTCAAAACTTTCCTAACTGTTTTACTAACATTATATTAAAAAAATCTTGCATGCTGCAAAGTTTCTGATTTTATTGTTCAGAGGACATGCAACTCCGGTTTCTGGTGTTCACTCTAAAAAAATTATCAGTAGCAAGAAAAATCTGAAATTCTGTTTTCTGATTTAATTTAATAAAAAAACTTTGGTTACTTATGAGTGCGTGCTTTCCTCACAAGCCAAAAAGAAAGTGCAAACATCTTGTTTTTCTGGTGTTCACTCTAAAAAAATTCTGTTTTCTGGTTTATATTAAAAAAAAACTTTGGTTTCTGATGTTCACTCTAAGAAAATTGGGAGTACGTGCTTTCCTCACAAGCCAAAAAATAAACTGCAAATTTTCGGTTTAATCCAGAAGTTAAATAAATACACAGTGCAAGAAAATTGAGAGTGTGTATGTGCATTGCAAGGCAAGAAATAAACTGAAATTTTGATCAAATTTAAGAAAACTCTTGTTTCTGGTGTTCACTCTGAGAAAATTATGAGTCTGTGTTTCATGTGTTTGCTCTGAGAAAATTTAAAGCACAAGAATAAACTAATATTCTGAAAGCACAAGAATAAACTAATATTCTGGTTGAACTTGAACATTGCATAAGTGCCTAGGCGGTTTCCAAGTTAGGTATCTTTTTTGGCGCTCTAGAAGAATGTGTACCAATATGGAGGTAACTAATTTCGGGTTCTGGTATAGTTTAGTACCACATCCACTTCTAGTTGGCCTGGCTCAATAATTTTTGCATATGTCAATCCTAAACCCCACCTGACTACGTCACCGAAAAATTACGTCATTCCGACGTCACAGTGGCGTAATAAGGCCCACCGAAGTATGCGGATGGTCGTCCAAAACGCGTAGACGATCACTCGAAATCGAGCAAGCTATTTCTCTCGTTTTCTCGTTGCAACGATCACGATAGGAGAGAGATCGCCGGCTTTAGCAAGTTCGTTATCGGCAGCACAGATGCCATTTCGGGCGATCGTAATTATACTTTGACAATCCCTATGACGTGATGGTCTTAGTGACATAATTTTGGGATAGCATAGTCAGGTGAGGGTTAGGAATAACATATGCAAAAAGCGTAACTAAACTATACTAGACCCTGATTTTGTTCGCCTACTTTACATCAAGTTGTGTAAAGGGACTGAAGCCTATGGGCAGGGGTATATTTGCTTGGCTAACACAGACATTCCCCGAACTCGTAATAGAATCAATAAAAGGAAAATCTGAATAAAATTATGGCCTAACTCTAACCTGGCACACACACTTTTTGTTATAACTTATTTTAAACAGCATACGTGTTCTATTATTTATACCTCTCTCATACCTTTGCTCTATGATATCGGGGCTATCATTAATTCCTGAAAATTAAGGTCTAGAAAAGGTATTATTTTATTAGCAGATGTCATAAGATTAGTTTATCCTGGCTGATGGTTCCCGCCACCCAATTTCCTAACAGGACTGAGCGCAAACAAAATCTGTCACTATTATCACCGGATGTCATATCCAGCCTGAATGCATAAGATCTATTTAACCTGAATTTGCCACATTTGTGTAGCCTTTTTTTCTACATGTCACAAAACCATTGTAAAAATATGACTGCTGACTGAATGATATATTTTACTCAAATTGTATATTTTTCCATTTTTTTTTGGCACAGACATTCCGGTGTGAGTAGTTTTGTTTTAGAAATTTAAACAAAAAGTATATCTTTGCTTGCCATTTCGACCAATCAAAATTCCCTAAAGTTTTATGCTATATGCTTATCAAATTGGTTGCCCTAGAGCCATGACAATCGATCAGAAATGACGTACGTCCCCAACAAGATCTTACGACATAAATATATACAGTTCGTTCCAATCAAAGCTCTGCACAGGCAGACACTGTTATTTAAGAAGACACTGTTATTTAAGTTAATTTATTTTGAAAAGCTCGGATTATATACTTGCGCATCGCTCTCTTGTCGAATGGTAAAGAGGCAGCTGAGATGCGCGGTTCGACTGACGTCATCTCACGGTACTCCCGTAGTATGTAAACCAAGATGGTGGACAACGGAACGTAGTATGTGTACCAGGTTAGGGTTAGGCCATAATTTCAGTTACAAATACTACGGAAGTCACTTGGTTAGTCCCCGAGTTCGTAATAGAACTGGAATAAAATTATGGCCTAACCCTGACTTGGTACACATACTGCGTCTGCCATCTTGGTTCACATATTACTGGATCGCCCATCTCACTCGTCGGCACGCTTGGGTGTTCGGGCGCCGCCACAGTTTTGAATTTTTTAGGTCAACCACTGAGGTATCACTGTTGTTGTATAGTCAGAATTGGCGACGGTGATATCGCTTATCTCTATGATCATGTATGTATACATACTTATTCCCTACTAATCAGAGCTGGGTCCATGTAGCCACCGTGTTTTTTTGTGGATGGAGGTTGGAAATGGAGCTGAAGCCTGTGCTACCAGAAAATTAGTGGCTCCAACTTTTAACCATCTAATTCTTTTTCCAGACTTATAATTTTTTTATACCTCATACAAATAACTTCATACAAATAAAATCTGTAGGCATCTTATAATTTTTTCAATTTTGATTTTCTTGTAGGAAATTGAAGTTTCAATTTTACAATCTAAAAGTCCCTATAACACAGATTTAACTCTCACATAACTGTATTTGAATTAATGTGTGATGGTAGTGCTCAACAAAAAAAAACATCAATTACTTCAAAGCTCAGAAGCGAAAAATAAACCAGCAGAACTTGAGTCACATTTGATATATTGTAGCTCCGGAATTAGAGATAGAACCATAGTGATTTCAAATCAGCTTCTAAATCCTGTATTAAGACTTGACACAAGGATTTCCTGTGCGGAATAAAAAACACATTTGGTGCAATGCTGATTTAAAATTTAATTTTGCAGAAACAGAAAGGAAACTCGAGATCATTGTGATTTCATTATCATAGCTGGCTCTGAAGAAATCCCAGTTCATAAGAATATTATATCTGTAGCATCTGATTATTTCAAAGCAATGCTGGCTCATAATGTAAGTTGTGTTTATTCGTGTTTATGTGTTATCTCAGCCATAAACTGTTTGAGTTAGCTAACTCTCTCACAGTTAGTACTGTTACCCTTGTTAATGTGGGTTTAATCATTGGTATTATCACGCTTCAGAATGCTGAGACAGCGTCTGGTAAAGTGGAAATGAAGGAAGTTGATCCATTATCCCTGCAACAATGCATAGAATACATTTACACTGGTGAATTGTCTACTACTGATGAAAATGCTGAATCTTTGATGTTTGTGGCTGAATTACTACAGTTGAAAGGTGATGATATAAAATAGATCTTTCTTTCAGATTGTACCGAGGTTCACTCAATACCTCGTGATTCAAATCAACTAGACAATCTCCCACAAATGGATTTATTTGTTGTACATGGGCCTGAATTTCTATTGTTATTCTGGCTAGTTTTTTACTGAACAGAAAACCTTTTTTTTTTTTTATCTTATTCAGCTTGGTAATTAATCTGCCATATCATTATTTCTTAACTTTCATTCCAAGTTCAACATGGTGACCCGAGGCAAACAGAATTTATGAATCACCTTCACGAAAATGAGGGAAAATTCAATTAATAATTGCACTTTGCTCGAGTTTGCTTGGTAATCTAAGATGCTTTGCGCAAAAGTTATGATTCAAATGACCTACCTGAGTTCTGTTTTTTCTGGCCACCTTGTAATCATTCCTCTACATTTCAAGGAAAGGTTCCGAAATAACTAAGAAATGCCAAAAGCTCTGGGGGGCAAATCAAAATAGATGTTTGATTGTTCATTGATAAATGTTTGAATATATATATAACTTCATGTATGTTTTTTTTGAACAGATGTCTGTGAAAGCATCGTTGATTCACTCGAAGAAAATCTCGAATCGTCTTCGGAATCATTCTTTGCGACAAAAAGAATCGCAAACCTGTACAATTACAAAGAATTGATTGAAAAATGCGAGAAGTTCATGCTGGATAAATTTGAAGAAATTGTAGTTCTTGATGAGTTCAAGGAAATAGAGGAAAAGGGATTTGTTGGATTGATCAAATCACAAGAAAACAAGGTATTTGCAGTGTTTTGTTTCAAATCTTCATTTTGAAAATACTTTATACAAGTAGTCACTCATTCGGACAAGGTTTTAGATTCTCAAGGTTTTAAATTCTTTTCATGATACAAGCAGCCACTCAACCTTCTAACTTGGTGGAACGCACTGCTTTACTGTATAGCAGGGGGTTGCCAACAAATCGATCGCCACGTCTCGAGTAGTCGATCGCGTCTGATGTTGTGTGAATTTAATAACATGCCCCCAAAAGTTACCTCTAACCAGTTTCATGCAGCGCCTGTTATGTTTCTTATAACAGTAATATATATGGTACTGCACATGCGCAAAATACAGTACATTTTACATCCATGGTATTTGAGTCTGGGCAAGCCTAATAGAGCATATTATTTCGCAACAAATGCAAGTTTCGCCTCTGCCAAGGTTTAGAAATGAACGTGGCAATTACTTATATTTGGCGTGGCATAAACATTTTTGCATATGCCATTCCTGACACTCACCTGGCTCCGTCATCCAAATTTTTATGTTACTTCGACCTTACAATCACGCCAAACAGCTTGCCAGACTACGACCGCCTGATATGTCATCTTCGCCAACCATCACGAACTCACTTACGCCAGCAATCTTTCTCATATCGGAAACGGTGTGACGAGAAAACAAGAGACATAGTATGCTCGATTTTAAGTGATCGTGTGCGCGTCTTGGATGAGGGTTGGTCTAATTTAGGGGGCCTTATTACGTTGCTTTGATGTCATAGCGACGTAATTTTTGAATGACATAATCTGTTGGGGTCTGGGAAACACATATGCAAAAATGGTTGTGCCACGCCAGCTAGAAGTACTTAACTTATGTTATGAACATGGCCCGAATATTTTATATTGAATATTCTTGATGTTCTGTATTCTTTCTAGGCATCAGAGAGTGTTAAGCTAAAGGCGTTGATATCTTGGATAAAACATGAGCAAAGAAATCGCAAAAAACTTCTGAAGAAATTGAGCACCTACATTGATTTGCATAAAGTACCGGTGACTTATAGAAGATTCCTTGTTGAAAACGAGGTTGGTTATTTTTGAATTGATATTTTTAAACTTTTTATTTTTGCATCTTGCAATCTTTCATGTAAACTTTGACTTTGAATACATTATTAAGAATTATCTTGCAAAAGACCAGGGCTCATACTCTGGCAAGTTTTAATAATGCAACTTATTCTTAAATTACCAAGAGTCAAAGTCCGAGTCAACTTTTTTTTTCGGAGTTGGAATTCCAGTCTTGAAAAAGACTCTCCTTGTGCCAGAATTTTGTGACCTATTCTTGCTTTTTTCGGTGATTGAGTGAATGTTTGAATTTTCTTAAAAAAAAGTAAATTATTTCTAGATTCCAGATAAAAAAAAATTCTCATATCTTTTACTATTTATGGGATGACATAAACACCTTTCGGTTGTTCCAGCCAATGGTAAAGTCATGTATTGAATGCTATCAAGCCCTCTGCATCTCTGTGATGGATAGCTTGAACGTTGGTGCTTCCGATGTTCCTTCTGCTGAGAATATAAGACAAGGAGAAAAAGAAGCAAGTAAGTTGAATTAAGATGTAGACAGTATAGAATAACATGTCATCTGAAACTTAGAAACTTACCCAACTGTGGATTGGTTCCAATTCGAACGATTTTATAGTTTGTTGTCTTTGCTTTTTATTTCTGATACAAAGTTTATATTTTACAGTTGCATTGTTTGATTATATTTCGAAGAGCCTTCAATGCTTTAATCCTCGGAATAATACTTGAACGAAAATGCAGGTTGGTATTTGACAACCTTCAACTCAGGTATAGCAGTCTAATCGTTCTGTACATCGAAAATATCATTCATTAGTTTCCATTCTTACTCCAGATGATAAAAATAAATGCTCAAAGCTTGTGTTTTTCTGCGATTGGATTGCAAGATATGGTTGTGGTAGTTCCACATATTTTTTGCAAGCATTGACTGGATGGTGGAGGAAGCCGTAACCGACCAGTGGTAACGTGAACCACCCTACATCGGCCATGAGTCCAGCAATTCTCCTGCATATAACCATTCTGTCATGGATTTTTAACCTGCGACCCCACGCAGGGTAATCAGAGATGAGGTGGAGAGCGTATTACTAACGCTTGGACAAGGCCTTTTTTACATTTGACAACGATTTCTTCAAGGCAATATTGTTTATTGAAATTTTCCAGAACATGCCTGGATCAGGAACTGACTTTTCTGCTGTGGCTCTTAGTGACTACATTTATGTTCTCATGATTGATCGATCTGTTCATCGGCTGAAATACTCAGATCGTGAAGCTACTTGGGAGAGAATGAAACATATGATGTATGATCATGGGCGGTGTCCTCCTGTTGCTGTTTTGTCTGGTAAGAATTGCTTCAAAAATTCTTTTGCTAAATAATATCTTGTTACCTCTGCCAAACGGCTAGTAATTGAGTTTTTCAAATATCTGTTGCTGTCTTGTTCGGAGTGAAGTTACGTCAAGAATTCTTAGTACTGGTCTGTTTGAGCATTTAATGAAAAACATATTTAAAGATCATTGGGTATCTAATTCCAGTTCAGTTCAGCCTTGTATTGTAACTATATCCCTTCATTGTGGGTGACCCAAAATTCTTCTGAGCGCTTTGTGCACAAAATACTGATAATTTTATTCTGATTCGTAAAACTTGTCACTTAATGAAAATGTACAAACACAAATTATATTTTCATATTAACACCATTGAAGAATTATAACACAATCTATCTGTGTAAGAAATAGTTGTTGTTTCATAAGATCATAATGTTTGAGTTCAGGCAAACCCAGGGTAAATGCCAAGACAAATATTGCCAAAAGAATTAGGTTTGAATTACTTTGCTAAAACATGCAGATCCGAATTGAAAGACCAAACGATTTGAGTTTATTATACAATACACTAACACTCCTGTTTTAGGATCAGTAGTTTATTTGTGTTTGTATATATCCCATGAAACTTTTTCTTATTTTAAGCTAATGTTTTGTCTTCCATTGCTATTGTGTTATCTATTATTATGACATGATTTATATTTGTATAAATACCACGAGTTTGCTTTGCCTTAAGATAGTTCTTCACTTCATCTTCTATTATTTTTCCAAGTATCATTTGCTTTTTATCATTGGTCTGTAATATATATATTGTTTACAGGAAACATATATGTTGTTGGTGAATTCGATGAGTACTCAAAATCAGTTGAAAAGTTCGAGCCATCAAGCAACAAATGGGAAAAAGTAAAAGACAAAAATCTCAGCAGTTATTCTTCAACAGCACTGGGTGCTGGAGGTTAGAAGATGTTGTCTAATAAATAAATGGGTACTCCCGAAATATGTGGATCAAGATGGCGGACACCGGAACGTAGTATGTGTGCCAGATTGGGTTAGGCCATAATTTCAGGTACAAATACTTGGATAGCCACCGCATATCTGATTACCTATCGTGGGATCGCAGGTTCGAATTCCATGCAGGGATGATCATGTGCGAGAGAATTGCTGGACTCCTCGCCGCCGTAGGGTGGTTCACGTAACCGCTGGTCGGTTACGGCTTCCTCCACCATCAAGTCAAGTCCATGCTTCCGAAAACAAATAATTAAAACTAATCCCATAACGGTACCCGACATGGACTGGTAACCGGACGAGAAGCCGTGGTTCGCCATATGATTAAGCCGTCTTATCGACTTTACTCTCCTCCGGGATAAATATGTAAATCCTATCCTGTGTCCTCGAATAATAGAACTAAAATAGGGAAAATTGGAATAAATTATGGCCTAACCGTAACCTGGTACACATACTAAGTTCCGGTGTCCGCCATCGTGGTTCACATACTTCGGGAGCGCCAATAAATGTCATATACATTGAACTGGCTCGAAACAGGCAGTCATGCAATAGGTAATAAATGGAATTGTCGCTGGGCCATATAACCAACTTCAGAAATCTAGCTGGACCAATAAATGTTCTGCTTTACAGTAAGTAATAAAGCCATCGGGCAAAACGGCAAAGTATTTAACACATTAAAAAAAGCATAAAAACATGTAATTTTACTCATGTGAGCGACTTTTTAAACATATACTGTCGGATCAACTCTTGATGGGGAAAAATCTGTTGACAGGGCCACACTAGATAGCTTTGCGGACACCAAATAGCTTTGCCTGTTGTCTAAACCAAACAAGAAAAAATACCGTCTTCAACAGACCAGTAGGTCGTTGCGTATCAGTGGTTGCTTTCACAAAGTGTTTTTTTTGCAGCAAGCTTGCAATACACTTACGGTAAATAAAAAATGACTGCCAACAGATATCGGATTTATCAGTTTGTCCTAAGTTTTCATCGAATACCAGAATGCAGAAAACACTTGAAAATAATAATCCTTGTATAATTCTAGGTTGTATATACAGCATTGGTGGAGTAGTATCAGGTCATTGGACCAACCAAGTAGAAAGATTTGACCCCACATCATCAACTTGGTCTTTTGTTGCATCCATGAATGAAGCAAAAGGATGGGTCGCAGCTGTTGAAAATGAAGGAAAAATATATGTTCTAGGTCGGTTGGTGCATGTTGCTAAAAATGTAGGAAACTCGAGAAAAAATATTTAGTTTTACTTAAAATAGCAATTAACCAGAATATTTCTATGACTGAGATTCAAGATATCAAATGCAGTGCCATTATGTTCAAACATCGTCATGAACTACTAATATTCCATTAATGTTATTCTGCAAGATCGCAGAATTATATTGTTATGTGACAAGTCATGTTCAAATGTTGGTATACCTATAAATTTACACGAATGCAAGTTGAAGTGTAAATTGTAAACTCATAAATACATTTGGTAATGTTTCGCCCTGTTGAAATTTGGTTGTTGAAATTTGGAGTGACATTCAGACATACTGAACAAGTTCCAAAATCTTTAGTTCAGGCTAGTAAAATTTTCCGCATTATATTCATCACCTTGCAGTTGTTACCTGCCATCATGTTAGTTCACTATTTCATTTTTATTCATTTATTGCTTTGTCTTGTGTAGGTGAGATTGTCAAAAGATGGATAAACATTGTTTTGTATCATTTTGGCAAAATTGCAAGCAGAGTTTAACTAACTGTTCATTTTATTCAGGCGGAGAGAATAACGGTAACTTGACAACTGTTGAACGATATGATATTCCAACAAACGTGTGGTCCATGGTAACTCCCATGTTAACTGAACGTAGCTGGTTTAGTGCTTTTGTGATTGATTCAAATATTTATGCAGTTGGAGGAATGTATAGGTAAGATTATTGAAATTTATTACAACATGGTAGGCACTAGGGCAGGGGTTCCCAAGCTTTTCTCAGGACGACCCCAAAGACAACTTTTTAAGTGTCCAGTGCGACCCCAGGACATGTATATTTTCTCCATGTAACTTTAGAGCTCCTTTCACTGGACTTTTGAGTCTGGTCGTGTGGTGGTATTAAGTAAAATAAGCTAAAACATTTAAACTTTTGATTTTAATTAAAAATACCAAAATTACAAAAAAAAATTGACAGCTTACAAATTGACATTCTTTGGTATGCTGTCAGGCAGCATACCAAAGAATTTTTCAAGTTAATGTTTGTTATGCGGCTGCGATAATCACTTTTAATAAACTTTTACCATACCTCAGTGACCCCACCGACACCATGACCTGTTTGCGACTCTACCTACTTATCACTCCGATCCAATTTGGGTTCGCGCCCCCTCGTTTGGGCACCCCTGCACTAGGGTCTCCTGTTTTGGAGATTTTGTTCTGAAATACTTATTCCCAAAGAAATATTTGTTCCCCTGTATTCATCACTATAGGTGTTGTACCAATTCAGTGTCTATATTGTCGATGCTCACAGAAATAAACTGAAATATTCATATTTTCGTGAATATATTCATAACTCTGGATAGATAATCGCTTCTGGTTTGAGCTCTTTGTGCGGATAGAAGAAGCAGTATAATCACATTGCTGACTAGTAATTTTTAATCAGAGTCTCCCACCTGCGGTCATTCGTACTTCTTTTATATAAGGTCGAGTCAATATAGAATTTGAAAATCTTTTTTTCCTGAGTAGCCTAACAACCATTTCACAAATTATTTGTCTTGTAGAACTGAAATAATCTTCTCTGTATGTTTTACAGTTCACCGGGAAGCATGGAGAAGTTTGATTTCAAGAAGAATCGATGGGAGATGATTGACATGAAGAACCAGAATCTGAAGATACTCGGTGCAGTGAAGATTAATTTGAAGTGATTTGATTGTTTATAACAGAGAACAGTTCCTTGTGTTACCATTTAAGGACATACTAGTAGTTTATGTTTGTAATCTTACTATTATGAAATTGTATGATAGATATTTGACATTTAATAGGTGCTCGTGTTACCACTGAGTAAATTTTTTAAACTTCTATAATGATTTCTTGCATTACTTACCGTAAATAATTTATATAGTTTTCTTAAATGTAATTACTCAATGACATTGCCTAAAAAACTTCAACTCACTGGACATAGCTATGTTTACTACTGATGTGAAGAATTTTTTTTAAATGATTTGTTTGTGTTATTAAATAACCTATATATGTTTGTAGCATTTTTTTTTATGTGAATTCCGATTATGACAGTGTGTAGTCGGACAGAATCGATGCCCATATAAAAAACGATTGTTGGTTGATGGACATTCTGACTCCTGCTCTCAACGACAGGAAAACAGAG